CGCGTACGCCGGAGCCGCCGCACCACTGCAAAGCCCCCGCCAGAGGGCCCATTCTACCAAACACCAGGAAAGACTGGGCAAGGGGGGAACCATGACTAGACCGCCGCCATCGACCGCCGCAAGGACGCCCACGACGTCCTCCGGACAAAAGCCGCAAGCGCCGCCGTCTTCCCTCGCCCACCATGGCAATCGTTGCAAGATTGGGACCACTCGAGAAGGAGGAGACAAAAGAACGCCACAGCCTCGCCGCCGGGCCCAGAAGGAGCCAGGTGCTCGCTGGAGTTAGGGAAATCTAGGGTCGCCGGAGAAGAGGTTCTCGCGGGGGTGTCAATCGACTAGGGTTAGATGGAGAGGATTTGGGAATTTTTTTCGGGAGAGGATCAGATTCTTCTTCTTGATTTTCACATCCTTTATAAGAATTGTTGAAACCAATGAAAGTTCCACCAATTGATTTGGGTTCAAGTTTATATTTGTTACAGGTTTCAGTAAGAAAAAACAAGATAACCGAAGATTTTCAACCTTTTATAATTTGGTGTGTGACCATACAACATTTCAAAGGGGGTTTTATAATTCACGAACTTTGTTGGGAGTTTGTTTATGATATAACATGGAGGTAGAAAAGGAATCATCTCAGAGCACCTTTGTTTTGTGTGATGAGATTAGACTAAATTAATATGGGAAAGGTAGATTGTACTGTGTAGATAAAATTAGACCCACCTTTGTTACATATGATTGTTAGTTTGGATAAAATAGTGTTTCACTCTCTACAATGTTTGTTTCACAAGATAAGTCATAGGATATAAATATACTTGTCAATTTTGCCCTTTCTTTCTCATTTTTTCCCATTTCTGATATATATATTAAAAATAAATCAAGCAAAGTTCAGATACATTTCACCATTAACACCTCTTTAACTCCATCGCCAACCCAAATTCATTTCTACCATCTGCATAATTTAAAAAACGAGAAAAAAATAACAAAAAAGGCATAGAACCTGTAGCAAGAACGAAAGAAAAAAGTAGAAATTGAGAGACGTGTTGGTGCTATCTCCGCCTCTGTCTCCGTCCACCTCGCCTCCGTGCTCGACAAAAGGCTGTTTTTTTTAACAACTCAGCTTCGAACTGGGCCGCACAAGGATGCTTTTCCTAAACATCTCCGGTTCTAACCTCCGATTTGAGCACCAGCATCTACGACGACAAACTCAAATAGATACAAGCGATGGTTCGGAGCTGGCAACGCGACGCCGGTGGTCCCCGCCGTATCCTCTCTTGGCTTTAGCCATCTAAATTATTTGTTTTACACCTTTTCTCTATTTTGTGGGTTCGTAGCCCATTTTTTCAACCGTGCTTCAATTAGGTTGAAAATGTTCTGGTGCCAATTTTTACCCTGTTTCTTCTCGGTCTCGTTGTTTGCAAATTTTTGAGGGCAAATTGGTCATTTAATCGCAATGGTACTGTGGAGATGATCTCAATCCCAGGGGGGAGCACAAAATTATTTTATCTTGAATACTCATGATAAAGCAAATTTTATCTCGGAACTAAGATTAATATGCGGGCCCATATCATGTGTACCAAACATAAGATAAGCCCAGATAACTTGCCTAATCCTATCTAATCACCCCAACCAAATGTGCTCTCAAAGTTTCAAGAGGAAAGAACACTAATTTAAAAGACATTCCCATTGCAACAAAGGTAGTTTTTTTTTTAGTCGAGTACGAAATAAATGAGTTTGAAAACCAAGAAAAATGAAAGCAATTAACTAATGGCGCAAACTCTGACAACAGATTAGAACTTTGTCGAACTCGGAGTCTTCAACATTTGAGAAAAAAAACAAAAACAAAGAGAAACGAGCTACGTCTAACATAACCAAAAACTAAAGTCGAACATCAATTTCGAAATAACTGGCCTTTTAACAAAGTCTCGATTTTCACCTTGAAATATTCAATCTTTAACCAACTAGTCACACTAGACAAGCAAAACAAAATGAAAGCCATAAAACTTTAACTAAAACAGAGTCAATCCACATGAATTCCGACCGTGACGTTATTTTCACCTCAAACCGCATAGTGAGCAAAAATAGAAAAATTTCGAAATAATAAGTCATAAACTAGTTACTTACTTTCATATTGCATGTCTGGACGAAATAAATGCGAAAAGCTCAAAACTTTACCAAAAAATGACATTGCCGGAAATTCGCAGGAAAACTCAAGTCTTGAGCTCCAAACATGAACTAGATATTGAAAGAGAAAGAAAGAGATAATTTCCCGAAGAATAAGTTGGGAAATGAGGGAGTTTGCTCCAAAATACAAAGCAACAAGTATTTTTATAGTTTCACAAAAAACGCACACTAAAAACACGTAGAAGAGAAAGAGAGAATCGGATGGGGAGGTCCAAACCTTCAAAGCTAAGCTTGTTGCGAAAGGTTATACCCAGATTGAGGGTATAGACTATGATGAGACCTTTTCGCCAGTAGCTATGCTTAAGTTCATTCGGATTCTCTTGGCTATAACTGCTCATATGGATTATGAGGTCTGACAAATGGATGTCAAGACGGCTGTCCTTAACGGAAACCTTCAGGAGGACATTTATATGCAACAACCAGAGAGTTTCATTGCTAAAGGACGTGAGCATCTAGTGTGTAAGCTTAATCGGTCTATTTATGCACTGAAGCAAGCTTCGAGATCTAGGAACATTCGGTTTGATGAGGTGATCCAGTCGTACGAGTTCACTCAATGTCCGGATAAGCACTATGTACAAGAAAATTAGTGGGAGTGTGGTTGTGTTTCTTGTGCTATACGTAGATGTCATAATTCTTATCGGAAACAGTAAGGAGTTAT